AAATCATGTGAAGATTGACTGTGGTCAGACATAGGACAGCAGATACTGATCTGAGTGGAAGGTTGACCAACATCAAAGATAGGATAGTGGCTTCTCATGTGAAAGGACAGGACAGATTGCAAGTATGAAAAACAGCCATGGACCTGACATCACAAGCAACTATTCATAAGTGGCAGAATGTCAACTCATCCCAATCCTTCAACCATATCCCCAATGACCTATACATACATAGTCAACCACACTACAAACTATATGTCAGAAAAGTGGACACTACAAACTACTGTAGTCTGAAAAAGCAGACACTACAGACCATTGTAGTCTGAAAAAGCAGACACTATTAACTTTTGTAATGAAAAGTGGACACTACAAACCATTGTAGTCTGAAAAAGCAGACACTACTAACCATCGGACCATAATAGCTATTTTATTGCTATCATGGAATATAATGAAAAATCATAATGATAGCCCTGGGGGTAGATATGAAATTGGAATGAAATATTGAGAGATACTCAATGAAAAATCCAATGAAAGCTGTGGAACATTCAATCAAAGTGCACATCATTAATTATGAAAGAAGCAATGGATGCATATAACCTAGCCAATGAAATATTTATTGAAATGCACAATGAATGCACCCAGAATTGATAATGAAATATTTAATGAAAGTGCACAGCATTAATTAATGAAAGGGGAATGAAAATGGTTGAAATTCCTAATGAAATATACAATGAAAGCACACAGCATTAATTATGAAAGAGGCAATGAATACACCTGACCTAGAGAATGAAATATTTATTGAAATCACACAACATTACTTATGAAAAGTACAATGAAAACATCCAATATTCCTAATGAAATATTCAATGAAAGCGCACACCATTAAATATGATAGAGGCAATGAATACACCTGACATAGTCAATGAAATATTTATTGAAATTACACTGGATTGATTATGAAAAAAGCAATGAAAGCACCGAAAATTCCTAATGAAATATTCAATGAAAGTGCACACCATTAATTATGAAAAAGGCAATGAATACACCTAACCCAGTGAATGAAATACCTATTGAAAGCACACAGGTTTAATTATGAAAAGTACAATGAAAGAACTGAACAGCTTCAATGAAATATTCATAGAAAGCGCATGATAATAATTATGAAAGCTTTTATGAAAGCTCCTAAGAAATGTTATGAAAGGGTCCTGTGGTCTTTGCCTACATTTTATGAAAAGAACATAGCCTTTATGAGAAAGAAAGACACAGGACACACCTATGAAAGGCCTTTCATAAAACTTGTGGACTTATACACACAGCTCTACAGGCAAGTGCCTTGGTTTTATGATAAAGGTGGTAGCCACTTGTGGTGTATTCCAATCCTGTTCGATCCTATCATGTGTTTCTATGCTCTGACTATAATACCAGATTTCAGCCGAGCCTGTTAGCCACATAGGAGCCAACATACCTAATTGTTTGAATACTATATCGGATCGTTTGGCAAGGCTGTTACTTTTTAAAATCCAGTGTCGTAAATTCTCAGAATTTCCATCCCAAGTAGGAATAGCATCTACCTTAAGTTTAGTGTCGAACTGAGGTTCTTGGGGAGGCTCACTTACGACTGAGTTTCCTTCTCCTGGAATGGCACTAAACGGGTTTTTTCATGGGTTACTTGGTGAGAAAGGTTTCCTGGGTCCTCTGCATGGACTGTTATTCCCTTCCCCATCATCGCTGTCATTGCCGTCTGAATCTCCTGGGTCCCCGCCTCCTTGGCACGGTTGTTGCTGAAAACTGTCTCTTGACTGGTGAGAATGTGAATTTTCTGACCTGTTATCTTCCCCCTGAGATTTGCGTACGAGTCTTGGTTCGAAATTGGCAGTTCCTCTTGGAACATTCGATCCTAATGGGTCTTCGTGTCTTTTGACACCAAATAACTCCTTGAGCGTGTGTGAAGAGTTGTTCTGGACTGCGTGACCAAATGCCGAGGAGTTCACATTGGCCATTGGATGACTAAAGCGAGTTCTCGACTTCTTGAGATGCGTCGAAATACTGTCTGGCTTGCCTTCAGTAAACATGGGAAGGTAATCGGAATCCAAAACCGATTTGGTTAGCGCCATTGTCAAAGTGATATAAATTGGTCAGTAACTCCCTCAAAACATCCATTTCCTCCTTGAATATTTCCCTTCACTCCGTGCGCGATACTATCTTTCCATAAGAGCTGTAGATGGGTCAGTGTAAGGCAGCTTCCCCCAATTGAAGCACTTGTCGAAGTCGACCTGCTAATGCAGGATCTATCCAATCCAGTCTCAGTGACAGACTTCCTGAATGAAGAAACAGGCATGCATGCTGGAAATTCCACCACTACTTCCTTGTATGACCCTCGATCAGGCAATTCCTTGGGAGCAAAGGGTGCTCCTAGATCTGTAAGATCCTTGACTCCAGGGTGTTCAGGTTCAATCCCTTCCGAGACAATTGATGGTTGATCACGTTCCGGTGCTGTCTGAAATGATGATGCTTCTGGAATGTCTAGTCCTTTGCTTAGTTCAGGTGTACTTGGCATGAACATGTTCTGTGTACTTGTTTCTAGCTTGGCTTCCCTTCTGTGAGGCGTGGTTGTTGTTCCAGATGTGGGTGTGTTGCTTGTTTGCTGTGTCATCCCAGCGGACTGCGAATTGTTGGTCTTTCTACCTGGATTGGCTGTCTTCTTTGTGTTGTCCATAGAGTCGTTTGTAAACTGATTTGAAATTCGATAAGGGTAGTATGATTCCGCATGGTGAAGTAAGGTGTAGGGTATAAGATGTGTTGTGTGGGTGTGATTTGTTCCACCGGTAACGGAAGTCCTTGTTCTTTCTGAAGATTTTGATCGAGATCGATTGTGGAGATAATCACAAGATCGTAGGGATATTTCCCAGTGTGTCCACCAATGTTAGAGTTCGACGACTCGTACGTTGGTGTATTCCTATGAATACAAATGTCAGTTGTAGTAGTTGAATCGAAATGTACATATAGTTGTGTTGACGCATTGAAGAGTCAAGTCAAGTGTGATATTCCCTAGATCACGTGAGCCCCCAGTGTGATTGATGAGTGATTCGGTAACAAGTAACATCGTGAAACAAGTTGTGAATTGTTGACAAAGAACACTGTAAATCTGAAATGTTAGTCCTCAGACGTTAACAGTTCGGATCAAGTATGTGATAGCTCAAATGCTGTACTTTACCCTCCCCGGCTTAATCCATATGGAATGCATGGAAGGGGGGTGGATTCCAGGAATTCCAGATGGATTCCATGGAATGGCAGATGGACTCCATACTTTCTGGGGATGGATTCCATGGAATGGCTGATGGACTCCATACTTTCTGGAGATGGATTCCATGGAATGGCTGATGGACTCCATACTTTCTGGAGATGGATTCCATGGAATAGCTGATGGACTCCATACTTCTTTCAGATGGAATCCATGGAATAGCTGATGGACTCCATACTTTTTTAGATGGAATCCATACTTTTTCCATATGGAATTCAGATGGAATAAGTCCCAATTCCACAATTATTATCATAGAATCACAAGTCCAGACTTAATCTGCAAAGTTCCAACTTAAACACTAATAAATGAAGAAAACTAAGGTGTATTGAAACAGACTACATAATTTTATTTTACTACATATAATATTAAAGGGAGGGGGAGGGAGAGGTATAGATATAGAGTGATCAAGGGAGGGGGAAGTGATGGAGGGGAGTGGGAGTTGTGGAGAGAGGGAGTTGTGGAGAATGAGGAGGGAGGGGAGGGGTGGAGAGTGATGGAGGTGGGGAGTTATGGAGGGGGAAGGAAAGGTGGAGAGGGGGGCAGCAATTAGAGGGGGAGCAATGGGGGACGGTGTGATGTGGAATAATGATGGAGGGAGGGGGGGCTCACCTGGGCTCGTCACTGTGTTCGTGGATGGGCGGCGGACATTTTCGGTGGGCGGGGGACGTTGTTTCGTGGGCGGTGGACGTCTTCGGTGGGTGGCGGATGTTTTCGGTAGGCGGCGGACGTCGTTTCGTGGGCGGTACACGTTTTTCGTGGGCGGCGGACGTTGTTTCGTGGGCGGTGGGCGGCGGACGTCGTCTTCGTGGGCGGGGGACGTCGTTGGTGGGCGGTGGGCGTTGGACGTCGTTGGTGGTGGCCGTTGTTCATGGGCGGTTGACATCGTTGGCGGTGGGCGTCGTTCATGGGCGGTGGACATCGTTTTCGTGGGCGGGGACGTCGTTTGCGGTCGCTGGACGTCCGTGGGCGGTCGTTTTCGTGGGCGCTGGTCGTCGTTGGTGTGAGGTCGTTGACGTTGGTGGGCGCTCGTTTTCGTCGGTGGGCGCTCGTGGGGGTGGGCGCTCGTTGACGTTGGTGGGGTGTGTTGGTGGGCTGTTCGTGGTGGTGAGTCCTCGTGGCCGAGCAGAGACGGCGAACGACGACCGATGTCGTCGTTCGCCGTCTGGTTGCCACGTCGCGACGTGGCACCTGTGGTTTGTGTTAAAAAGGAGAGTGGGTGGGGTGGTTGTTCCCACTTACCTGGGCTGGGCCCTCGTCACGCGTCGTCAGCGTCAGCGTCGTCGTCGTCGTTGTCGATGTCGCGGGCGGTCGTGGTTTGAAACGGTGGTGGTGGATGGTGATGGTGGTGGTAGGAAGGAAAGAACGACGTGGCAACGCTTCAGCCACAGCTGTCACGTTTGACGCGGCACGTGCCTAAAAGCGGTATATACATACCTTTAGTTTCTCATATAATAATGCCTTCATGGCTCAGTCGGCTTGAGCGCTGCTTACATTCACGAGGTCGAGAGTTCAATTCCTCGAGATGTAAAAAAATTTATTTTACTTACTTATAGTAAGGACAATGTATTCTAATGGTATAATAGTCATTAATTCCATTCCATGGAATCCATATGGACTGCTCCATGGAATCCATGTGGATATGCCTGCATTCCATATGGAATCTGATGGAATCCATATGGAATGGTGTTGGAGTCCATATGGAATTAATCATTCCATGACCATTCCAGCATCATTCCATATGGAATCCATGATGTCCATGGAATCAGAAACTGGCTGTGTCCTCAGCCAACATTGAT